AGAGCACTTTTATTGCAAAATTACACCTGTGGGGGAGATATAGGAATAAAAATACCCTGCTATTGCATTCCTCTGTTTTTGTAGAGGGAGTTAGACTTGTTCAGCCCCTCTACAAGATAAGGATATAAGGGTAGTGTATAAAATATCTCGCGTTCACTCATGATTCGGAAAAGAACCACATCCAAAGTGCAATGATGTAGACCGTCTAACCTAATACAAACATTAGTGACTGCTTCCACGATTCGAACCCGTGACCTATAGGTGTTTGGAGAAAATATTATTGTTGCTCCAAGCCTAACGCTCACTTTACAAAAATAAACATAAATGACAGAAAAAGTAATCTTGAAATCAATATGAAGCCCTTTTATATATCAAGACAAATTAATTAAGGGAAGAAACTATAGTAGACAACCATGGAATAAGGTTGCTATGTCTGTATGTTCCCTTAGCCTATGACCTTCTTTGGGAAGTACAGTAAACAATACTGGTATAACTACATCTTTTAACACTCGCTTGGTACAAGAGACAAGGGATAATTAATTTTCGGATTAAATACTAGATGAGTTTATATCACATTTGTTTGGGATAAAATTGCGCTATAACTAATCTCGGGATTGTAGTGTTAAAATATCCCTATAACAGGGCGCGATAACAATTTCGGGATAACTAATCCCGAAATAATTAATCTTGAGCTAACTTATTTCCCAACCAAACATCCCTAAATGAGATAAAATAGTAACCAACTTCTCCAAATATCCAGAACACAGATTCTTTCCTTATGTTGAATGAATAAAAAGAATCAAAAAATCATGAAAAACCTTGAAATAATAACAAACCGTGATGTATTTCATTAAAGTTATGAGAATAACTCGAACACACAAAAATCATTTCTTACTCTTCTTATTATCTTTCCCATTGCAAAACAGAGACCCCAATCCAAATGGGACATTCAGAATTGGACTAATCCGAATAGCATTACCATAATTCTTTCTCAAAGGTGGCTTTTGAGATGTATAAAAACTAGCTGCTGCTGCTGATGATGAATTCTTCATTTGTTTCCATTGCGCACTACTCTGTTTCTGTACTGATTGCTTTGAATTAGGAACTGAACCAGTAGAATTGCTGCGGGATAATAAAGGCAATGACCAAAATGAGCTTTTCTTATGTGTATTAACACAATGAACGCTACTGCTTCTCTTAATACCCCAAAAGGAATTAGAATTCGACAGATTCTTTTGTTGCTGCTCTGATTTGATTTCTTGCTTTGAAATTTCATTTTCTGATGAGGAAACTGGAAGGGGCGGAAGTGAATTAAATAAAGTTTGAGTCTTTGATAGAGGAAACTGTTTTGAAGAAGTGACAAACTTTTCTTGAAGTTGAAGAGGGCGAATTAGGCCATCTGAAAACAGCTCATCTGCTGAAGAAGTTTCTGTATCAGTGCTACTGCTAATACAGAAATCGAATTCAGAATTAAAATCACTACTGGCATTAGTAGTGGCAGCAATATCTTTGTGGCAAAGATTATGGGAAAAAGAGATTCTTGGACTTGTGGCTAAACTTGGAGCTTCAGAGATCATATCAATGGCCATGGTTTTTGTTTTCTTGAGTCAATTATTGAAATGACGGAAAGGAAAAAAATCTAACGCGGTGGGATAGTTGTGGTAAGAGGACAAGGTTCAAATGTGATGTGGGAACACTGCCATATTTGAGGAAAAAGAAAAGTTTTTTACAGGATGTTTTCAGAAGTCAAAAGGAGAGAAGCTAAATAGGTGGTTTGAATTCTGGGGCACTTCACTTGTAGTCGACAAGGCTGGTGGCTTTTGTGTCAAAAACAATTACTACCACGGACTTTAAAGTTTAAAGATCAATTGCAAGTCTAAGATGAGACTTGAGAGTGTTAAAAGTGCAAAGTTTTAGCTTTCCTATTACGGTAAAGAAAATCTTTTTACTTTTTGGGAAGCAATTAATCAACCTTATATCATGGTGCTATCCTCTAAAAGAAAAACAGTCTCGTCAGTATTTTGTATTCACTCAGAGTTTGGGTAAGGGCCTATCCAAAGGGTGTGATTTAGAGTGGAAATGATACCGGATAGCCATTTTTAAGTATGTTGTTTAAAATATATCCACAGTTTACAATGTATTTAAAGATTTGGCAATTTCGCTCAAACTTCAGGACACGACTTCCTAGAGTTTAAACCTCAAAGTTCAAATTTCAGGTCATCATGTCCTAAAGTTCGAAAATTGTATCCAAAAGTTCGAATCTTATATCCTGAATTTTAAATTAGCAGCTCAATAATTCAAGACACTAAGTCCTGAATTTTCAAATTCAGGATACTTAGTCGTGAAGTTTGGGTGATCTGACTAATCTTTACATACATTATAAATGGTGAATATATTTTAAATAGTGGGCTTAAAACTGGCTGCACTTCGCCCTAATTTAGACAGTCTACCATAATGCAACCATTAGTTGCTGCTTCCAACGTTCGAACCATTAACTTATAGGTGTTATCCTCTATCCCATAAAAATACCATCAGTATTTAGCAGGAAATAAAAAAATTCTTTTTATATTATCCATATATTTTAACCCGTGATAGCAAGTTAAGTATTAATTTTATCAAGTTATCAAGAGTAATATTTATCACGTAATTACTTTATGAATAGCCTACTTGTGTAAATGTTATTTTAACGCCGATCGTGAATAGAATTTAGATTCTTTAGCAAGAATATTGAACACATGACTATGTCCAATAATATCAAATTATAATGGAGCATTAATCTATCACAGAGTTTTCACTCTAGGGTAATAAATAAATAACTAGAAGGTACGAATGATTTACTTACACTTTGAAGCTAACACACCGGACTTGATCATTTACTAGCATACATGTGATATTATACTGTTCATATACTAGCATACATGTTAATCTTATTATCTTGCTTTTGTCTCTACACGTTTGAGTCATGGGCTAAAAGGACAATAAGTAAATTGCGACAAGCCAAATAAAGGTTTATTACCACTCGATTACGATCGCCAAGATGTTGGCTTCTATCTTGAAGCACAAGCCAATTTCTTATATCCAGTCAATAGGGATGTTGTTGAATAATAATGTTTCTTTACACTTAACTAAAGTATCGTTTTTATCTTTACAACTCTGAGAAAGTAGTTCTTTTAGGTAGGAAGCGATAAATCATTTTATTTTAGGGTCTTTTCTCTACTTTTTACCTTATGGTTCATCCACCTCATGTTTTCCTTACAGCTTGTTTGGATGGATGTTACTCATTGTATCGTATTGTATTATTATCCCAAAATAATATTTATTTTTACTGTTTCATTAAAATTGGTTGTATATATTGTATTGTTAAATTCATTGTTCCGGAACAATGAAAAGTCTCATTTTTTGAAATAACCGATTTGGTGTGGTAGGATTGTTTCCTATTTTTCTTTCCAATTATGCCCTAACTTATTACTCCATAATTTTCTTTTACCCTTTACCTTTTTTTTATAATTCCAAATCTCGCACCTATAACCTACTTTGTCTTCGTCCCATTTTTTCCAGAACTTCTGCCGCATCTAACTCCAACGTAAAATTGCTAATTTTGTTCCACTAATTTTGTTAAAATTTACATGAATTTAATTCTTAATCTATTTATAAGACATATTTGGCGATAAATTAGTAGAAAGGGATTTTCTTAAATTATTTTTATGAGTAATTCTTGATAAATTTAATATTTAAACAATTGAGGGTATTTGAATAAACTTATCTGTTACAGTACAGTATGATACAGTCAAACCAAATAGTAAAATGTTATTTAACAACAGCAAATAATACTTTTTGTCCAAACGTTGTATTCATAAAACGATACAATACAATACATTATAAAACGATGGGTAACAACTATCCAAACAAGTTGTTAGTCTTGTTTCGTGGTGACAAAATGGATAAAAGAATAATAATTATTCATTCATATTATCCACTAAAAATGGCTTGGATAATGAACTTTTAAAAAAATAGGTCAAATATGGATAAGATTCATTTTATCCACTTAAAAATGGATAACCAATAGGTTTAACTTTTATATTTATAAAAACTCAAAATTGGGGGTTCATCCAATTTGGGAGACTATAAATCCTTCCAAAATTGACTATATTCAAGAAGTCATGGATAATATAGATATCCATATTATCTAATAGTTAACACAATTTTCATATATATTAATATGGATCAGATCGAATATTTTATCTGTTTTCGCATTTCGCATTTTCAATCCATCCATATCCGACCCGACCTGCCCGTTTACTTCCATAATCATGTTTTTACAACTTTTGGAAAAGTGACGGCAAGAAATGGCGTGTATCTTGGTAACATTTTAGTAGAAGAGGGAAGTTGTGATTAACACCCTTCTTAATTCTCTTGACTTTTTGGTGGCTGCTAACTCAACCACCAACTTAATTATTCCTTCTTCTTCTTTTTGTGTTTTTTCTTTTCTTTCCTCATTTGACTGTACTTTCTCTAGACAACCAGCTCAGATGAATGAATTCTCAGTAAATTACATTTAACAAGGCAGGTCCTATGTTTTGAACACACACCACACAAATAGAAAATAGAAAATAAAAAATGAAAAGTTTAAATAGAGAGAGAATAAGAAGAAGATTCATGATTGTACAATTAGGTTAAGTGTGTTTAATTATTAAAAAACGATCAAGTAACACAAGAAAATTGTTGATTATAGGCCCCTTTCACTGGATAATCTAACATCCATCATTGATTTGTAATTGCTAACAACATAACTTGGCCGCCAGGCATAATTCATTTCGATTGAACCTTGACCAACTTTTCATAGTTAATTAAGATAAATATTAAGTAAATTTTATCACTATTAGGTATTTGGAATTACATAAGATACATTTGCCAATTATATATATATATTACTTTCCTTGCGGATAAAATTAATTATACGTATTTCTACAGGGACATCAAACCTAACTTCAACGCTCTATATGATGACCAGTGTCATGCCTCAACAAAAATGATGACAGTCATTATTATTTATTAGGGGAAGGTGAATTTATTGGGTAATGCTTAGGTCAAGTCAAACAACATTTAATAATAATTACTTGCCCTGAGCGCTATCCAAATCGTACCTGTGTTAATAGACTGGTTCACTCGCTATACTATTAAATGTCATTATCTGTTAGAGACCCCCTCCAAAATAAGAACTTGAAAACCTTTAATTTTGCTATTTGACTTTTGTTACTTTCCTTGGATATAAAATATAATACAAGTATTGTGGATTGATATGACGGAATAAGCATTAGTATATTTCAATTGGAATTAGTTGAAAGGTTGTGTTGAAAGTTTCAGATATATTGGATTGATTCTGCTACTGAAGACATGTTGTCCATTTTCTTCTCAACAATCATATGAAAACAACATATTAAGCAAATAATAAATGTAGTTTGGCTTTGAAAGTTCTTCTGCAAACAGTGTGAGAGTTTCCCATTGTGCTCGGCAACACTTCATTGATTTGGTCTCTCGCTGGGAAGTATAGATGATTATTTCCTTTTTTCAACCACTTCCATCTAGAACATAGAGAGGTGGTTGTCATTTTAGCCAAAACTAGTTCTAACGTTAGATGTCCTAGACAAGGAGATCCGAGATTTTAACATGATGAGTACGACATTTAAAGTTTTTAGTGTTGAACATATTGTATCTTTAAAATCAGGGATTTAAATCTATTACTTGTTGAAAATTTAGTAATTTTTCACATATTTATTATGTTCCGTATGAAAAATACTAGGTTCAGAACCCCGTAGCAAAAAAGCTAGATCCCCAGCTTCCTCACTAGCTTCTATTGTCAACTAAAGTTCTAAGATTGAAGTGACGTCACTAAATTGGATTTGCATCGACTCAGTTATCACGGATTTTACTCGATTTTAATTTGAAAGGAACAGAGATTGAAAACAACAATATTACTGCCAACGTAATCAATAGATCATAGTCGGTGCAATACGGAGAACAATAGAAGGGAGAAGAAAAGCTTAACTGAGAGAATTCAGTCCTTTTTTCATTTCTTCCCCATACTCAAAATCTAGATTTATATAAACTGAGTTTTTAAGGGTCTAGCAAGAAGCAATACATTGCTCACCGTGATAGAAAAGGTAGGAGCAAAATAACAAAAGAACCATTTCTTGTTCTATTTTTCTTTTTTATATAGAAGCCGATGGAGATAAAAACAGTATAGTTTTTCTTTTTCTTGTATTGCCAAGCAGAACAAAAGTTACGGTTGGGTCAACGGGTAATAAGAATAAGAGCTCGTACTGATGTATCGAACCCTCCAACATTGTTTCTTACTTCCTTCTTAAAAAAGAAAGAGCGAGGCAGAAATATTAACAACATTTTAGCTAGAAAATGTCAATCATGGTAACGAGCCCTTTTTTTTAATTGTTAAGAGGTAATCATGGAAATGAACTTTGAAAGCAAGGACGATGAGAAGTCGAGATCCATAGAACAGATGGACCAGCCATGGCGTGAGGTATACATCGATGAATGACAGCCCTCGTTCACCACAAAGCTTCTGTCATGTTTCAAGGTTTTGACAAACGAACCATATTTGACACTTGACATGTGACCAGGTTGTCCACATCTGCAACTAAGGCCCAAGAATACACCTCTTGGCTTCCCAATCCATAGAATCTTCGGCCTGTTGGCCACAACTCCTGGCATTCACAAGCCTTACTAATAGGGCCCCAGAATCAGTGCTTACTTGTTGCAATCAAATAGATAAACAAAACAAAAGTATGTCAAATCAAGGAGCTACTTTTAGTCTCCAGTAGAGCTAATCAAGGGTAGATAACCAGAGCGAAAATTCATGTTATTCCAGACTCGAACGAATTGAGAGATCAAGCCAAATTGGCTGATTCCACCCCAATGGTCATGCTTCGCCACATTCTGCCTTTCTTTGCCCAACCCCAAAATTTGGGTTGCCTCAACCACAATAAAACAACGGACCACTCAATTTACCCAACACAACAAAACAAACTGAAACTCAACCCCAACTCTCTTCAGATAAAACTGGAAACTAGATCTAAGAGAACAAATGCAGAAAAAACTGAGGGGAAAAGAAAAAGATTCTACGTAATACAGACCAGTACAGCTGACTCAAACAAATGCAGCAAATATGTCACTGCAGATTTCCTGAAGGGCACTTCTTTCTACATTAATCAGGAGGAAACATCATGGACGAGATCATTGGAATTTGAGCACCATAAAGCTGCGGATGGAGTAATGCAAAATAGATAAATAAAAAATAATCCTTCCTAAAATGTAAAGAAAAACAGCTGGTCGGTAAAAGTCTAGGACAAGAACCAACAGAACTATATTCACAAAGTACATAGGATAACTGATGCACAGTTGCAACTAAGATGTCAATAGTGTTGACAATATTTTGCAAGTTTACACACATTGCCCGAAAAAGAATTTCTATTTACAAAGATTGTTTATATTATATGTATCCAATGATGCAGTTCTATTATATCTGCAAGAATGCCAGGCAAGAACCTTTTTGAGAAAAATGCCAGGCATGAACCTTTTACAACCTTTACCTGCATACAAGCTGCAGCTTCAACAGCTGCCCGGTAACAACTATCAAATTGAGTATTCACGGATTATGTATTGACATCTTGTAGACCAAACAATATTGCAAAGGCAAAACAAACAAGGATCGTGATGAAAGATGCATCTGCAAATCATTAATCTATGATTGCAATCATCGAAGATCAATGACGTCGAACTTCAATTTAGAATCCATATAGACATCTGTACAATGCTTATAAATTGGGCTACCATCAGGAGGGGGGTCATGAGGATGAAAACCACGCCTCGGACATTGTCGTATTACTGTCATACCACCCGGATTCGTCAATCGGAATATTCCATGAGTTCTAGGATTAGAATACCATGGATTAGTTAGATGTACATTAACTAGGCATGGAAGGGGAGATTGTCATTTCCCACTTCCATCCATGTACCAAAAGTAACCTAAAAAAGGTATTACACGAAGAGCAAAATCTACTTCCACCAGAGATTGAGGCTACTTTACCTTGAACTGTCTCTTGGGGCCATTACAATTGCAATAGCTTCAGGCAACATGATCTGTTTAATCAGTAGTAAAGGAAATGAGTGAATCTAGGATAAGGGATGAAATCATATCATCATCAACAATAAAATGATATGAAATAGGTAAAACATAAATCCAGGTGTAATAGGCCATGTAAACATTTGCCTCAGTGTTCTCTTTTTATTGGTAAAAAAATAAGATACAACATTTTCCTCAGTCTTCATAGACAAACAGGAGATATCCCGGTTGGGGAAGTAAAGAATTCAAGTACAGAAACCTGATATGAGTACTGGGTATGAACATCAATGGATGACATGAAACATGATTGCGTTGGATGTGTCTGTAAAACAATGGAAAGTAAAGAGTCATTACTTGAATTTAATTGTATCATGGAGTATAAACTATTCAAGGTTCTTTTGAGATACAATACCATATGAAGTTACTGGAACAGATTATGTAAAATAACTTGTAGTAGGTACACGACAACATTACAAAGAATGTCTCTGTTACGACTCAATAAACTACAATGAGTATGCTAGGTGTTCTAATAGTGTTACTTGATAGTTCTTTCTACATATTTTATTACAGAAGCATGGCAAGCTTCACCAGATCACAGAAACTGAAAGCTGACCTGGTACAATAGTTTATATTAAGATGATAGCACAATTCAGAAGTAATTTATCAAGGACTGGGATCCTCACAAAATACACTTACATGAATCCACCCAAGGGGAAACAGTGATTGCTTATCTTGAACTTCAAATATTTCCTCCTCATTTGTAGTTTGACACTGCTCAGAAAGAATTCGATCAGAATACTTTCCAGGAAATCTTTCCAAAGAACAGTACACCTTTTTTTCTTAATGAATAATATAAAGGACTCTCACTCACCGAATCTGATGTCGATTCCTGCTTGGGAATGATGAGAGCTGTGACATAAAATCTTCGGTTTTTCTGAAACAAGCAATAGTGTGGATGCTGATACAGCTACAAAGAGATTGGAACTGAAAACACAATGATAAGAATTAAAGGGACATACAAGTGATCCAGCAAGAACACCACAGGTTTCCAGATTTTTGTTAGTATTGGACTTGGCTAGCTTCATGAATGCATCCATCAGAGATGTGGACTACAAAATGAAAATAGGTAAAAGCATTCAACAATGTAAGACAAAAGAGAAGGTGATAAGGAACTGGACAACCAAAATGTTGAATAGTAAAATGTATAAAACTCTCACAATGTGCAATTGCAATGGTTCTTCAGAGCAGATTAGGCCATCAGGTGATGATTTAACCAATCCACATTCCACCTCATCGACTGGAGATGATGCAGGTGGCATCAAATCTTGTACCTCTGCAAGAACAGGTGGAGGAGACGGTTGTCTAATGATTTCTGATTGTAGAGGGCTTTCTTCTGTATCAAAGGAAATCAATGAAGCAGGTTCTTCAAGACGAAGCACTGGCTTGTCACTATCTACCGGTAACATAGATTCCAGACATGGTTTTCCACATTCTGAACTGACGTCATCCTTTTTATCCAAGGATTCATTTTCTAGAGGCTGCAGGAGCCTGTTTTCCCTTCAAGGATTAAGGAAGTATACTCAAAACTCAAATGTAAGCACACTGGCAGGATAAATTTATACCAAAAACAAATTTATCTGTGAGTAGCTCAGGACTGTAGTAAAGCCCTAAATGTGTCATTACAAATATGTTTTGCAAAAGCTATATTTGCACATAAAACATGTTGAAAATAAATCAATAATTAAGAACCTCACCTGGGGATTAGAACAGGAGTGAAGTCAACATTACTTGGATAAGACACCTGCATTTAAGAACAGATGTTGTATTTCTACAGTTAGACTTACCCAATGTTTGGCCAAGCTGCAAAATTCAGCTTATTTTGAGAAGTGCTTTTTCTCAAAAGTACTTTTGGTGAGAAGTAGTTTGTGTTTGGCTAATTAATTTGAAAAGCAATTCTGAGCAGCAATTAGTATTTGGCCAAGCTTTTAAAAACTGCTTCTAAGTGTATTTTTCTCAAAAGTGCTTTTCAAAAATGTGCTCTTGGAGAGAAGCTACTTTTTTCTGTTTCTCCAAAACTGCTTCTGCTTCTCATCAAAAGTACTTTTTTTTCTTCCAAAAGTTTGACCAAACACTTTAACTTTGAAAAAAAAGTGCTTCTAGGATTGGAGAAGCTTGGCCAAACAGGCTATTATAGTCCTTACAATTCCTGGGAAACGTTTGTTTGTCAGGACTCCCGACTCCCAATCTATGGCTATCCCATTCCCAGAGGGCTTCATTTATGTCTAATTACCTATGATCATAGACCAGATAACGAAGAAAGAGAACAGAGAACTAAAATAGAGGAAAAGAGTGTGATGAAAGCATAGTAGCCTCTGGCAAATTGTTTAGCACAAAGAGCACATGGCTCAATGCACAACCCTTCCCACCCAGATTTAACGAAGGAAAAGGACTGCCATGATAACCCCCCCGTAACCTGCTCTGCTTGGGTAGTTCCACGTCCTACCGAAGAGAATGCAGAGCTACCACCTCTATTGTCATATTAGCTCTTTTTTGCGGTAACTCCTCTAATGGTTCATCCTTTGAGGTTAGGATGACTGAGAGGGTTAAAGGATCAACACTGTAAATTTCAAGAGCAGAAAATTCACAAATTTGAGTCATCAACCCGGTAGATTGCTTCAATCTAGTATTTACTCAATCCATATATATATCTTCATTGGGTCAGCCTTCCAGTATAGGGTGCCCATCTTTCCTGATAATTTAAATAAATTATAATAGGGGAATAGAACTCTTCACCCCTACCAGAAGGGACAGACTGAAGGTGGGTAGGGCACAAGGAAGATGAAGAAAGGCTGGAAATGTGAGGAGATGCAAAAGTGTTGAGTTATCTGGGGCAGAAGGAAGGAATTGATGAAGGTGACGGTGGTGGCCGTTTTTTCTCTAAATTTTCTTTTCTGACGAAGCATTACATGTCTCTCAAGCGTTGCCAAGCTTGTGCCAGAATTTGGTCGCATAGATGCATGAGAATGAATTAATCATAAAAGAAATACGTGACTAGGACAACTGCGTCTTGTTTATGAGTCAGAATTTCATGATCTCACTTATGACGATTAAAACTGTATTTTACTATGTGAAAAACATAAAAAATATCCTTCATGCTCCCCTGTCACTAGCTTGAGGACTACAATTGTATTTTACTATGCTAAAAACACAAAAACATCCTTCATACCCCTCTGTCACTAGCTGGAGGTTGCCACTGTCCTCGAAGTCCATTTGGACCCAGGATGGAATGTCTGGTCAGAGTTTCTTCCTTTGGTCGCGGTATACTAAGTGACCTAGAAAAGTAAACAGAAAAATAAGTAAATAAAGAAGAGTAACATTGAACAAATAGCTGACATCCACCAAACATAAGCTCATTTTCACCTTGACTAATGCATTCTACCTCGTCCACTATTGTTTTTAATCAACACACCACGCCAGCCTAGGAAGAGATTTTACTTGCAACTGCTGTACTATATGTTTTCAGTGTGTTGATTTGTGTTTGTTGCTTTTTATGGACAAGTTAAACCTAATGCAATTACTTCTGGAATGTTTTTATCTAGCACGGCAATGCAAAATGTATCTTTATTATTCAATACCCGGGGCCTTAGTAAAATAAAAGAAAATCATGATTTGTAGTTTCCAAGGAATAACAGCTACAAAGACGTCTATCTCACACTAAAATCTGCGGATGGTTCATTTATAAGCATTGTAAAATGAAGAGATTCCACGTGCAATATTCAAATTTAGTGAGAGCCGCAGACTAGGGCCACAATTAAGCAACTACTCCATGCAATTGAAGTGCCTTGATCAGGCACATTGCATCTAGAGATAAACTACAGAGTAGTCCTTATTGGAGAAACTTACAAATGGCGCATCTGCTCATTTACTGGCTTCACAAGCAAAAACTGCTGGGTTCTTGGGACTTGAGACACAAAATCTCGAACTGGTGCTACTACCTGTGAGATGCGGAGACAACGTCCATCAGAACAGACCATTAACACAAGCTGTACAATCAAACACCTCGTCTCTATGGATCATGGTATCTATGGTTATGAAGCATCTTTAAAACAAAGCAATGGAATAACAGTAGAATTGAAACTACAAGGTCCAATTCAGACCCATGAATCTAGTGTTTCACTGTTTTGTTCACCACCTTCTACATTATCTTAAATAAAATATTCTAGGCAATTTAACACACCACACATTTTCAACTTTAAGGAAGATGAAACAACCTATGGCTATGATGCACCAAACTTTTCCCAAAACTTAAAAGCTTTGTTTCTAGCAAGCCCCTTAGTGGAATTTTCTTGAAATAGACACCTTAGTGGAATTGCGTATCACTTTGGTAAGCTTAAAACAAACAGTTTCTTAACAATTCCAATGCATCTCTTGATTTCTGGAGCACTCCACACTGGAAATCGATACACTTTCAAGAAAATATGAAAGACAAATAGAACCCTCAAAACCAAATATGCACACATCACGACCAAATCCAAGGCAGCTAAACAGGAAAGCTTGAACAAAATGACACCTAATAAATAGCATGTACGTGATGCATACCTTAGTTGTTCCACAAGCCTTAGGGTTTTGCTTATTGGCTGGATAAAACTCTCCTGAGAATCCTAAAAGAGTATTTTGATGATGATTGTTCCCCTTATTCACTTGATATGTGCTTTTTCTATTTAGCTCCTCGAGTTTCTGTTGAACTATTGGCTTCAGTTGCTCAAGCTCAGCCACAGCATTTAGTAATCTCTTGAGATCAGACACAAAAAGTCAGATTAAGTGAACTGTTACACATGAACACTATGAACAGAATGGAATATCTACCTTTTTTAGATAAATTTTGTTGCTCTGCAGTGATGCTCGATAATCTCGATGGCATGGTATTGTCTCAGAGACCAAACTTAAACAGAAAAAACAGCAATTTAAATACAAACTTCAGGGGTTCAGAAAGTATTTAGGACATCCAAATCATCAGAATCACTTTGTAATTCAATTGAGGCTCTAGTTTAAATAGAAAATAACCTTAAAACTTAGGGTTAATTACAAGGCCCTAACTTGAGGTTACTCTATCAGACATAACCCATCTTTAATTTGAATTGGAAAACCTCCCACATTTCAAAGTTTTGAGTAGCCAAAATCTTTTTCTCCACATAAATTAACTTACTAGCTCACTGGATAAGAATGTGAATTCAAAACGAATAAAAAAATTCAAATAGTACTAACAAACTTTTAAAACTCATTTAGATAAAGTATTTTTGTATGCTTCTCTGTACCTTAATTTAGTAAGTGATTAGGAAAAAAAATTCTTTGAGGCATCCGCAATTAACAAATTTGTTTCTTAGGAAATAATACTATTATCCAACAGGGCAGCTTGGTCAACTCTGTAGTAAAAAGAAAAAAGGTTTGGCTACTCAAAGCTTGAAATAAGGGAGGGCTTCTAACATTTCAAATCCACATCAGAAATTAAGCATAACGAATAATAAAGCTCAGTGCAAGCTTCTGACATTAACCTGAAACAAAATATAGCTTTGGGTCATTCTACTTCCCTTCTCACCTTGAGAATCTAAGAAGCATGACATATAAATCTATGACGTCTCCCTCTGCGCGGAAAATGTCAGCCTACAATATGGAAAATATATCATTTCCTGCAATATCAGTCTAGAGAATAAAGAGGAATTTGGATTCAAACAGAAAGTTACTATATAAACAATTACCTAATTGCAAAGCACTTTAGTATAGAAAGATATTCGATGGACGACAAGAGTCATAAAATGACTTAAAAGTTACTAATCATTGGCATATCAAAACATAAGTACAACAGACAAAAGTGCACCGCCAAACAAGTACCATGCTATAGTTGAGAAATATGAAGAATGCAAAGAAGAGGCTCTAGAGTAATAGCAAGGGATAGCAAACTATATTTCTATTACAGTATGGCAGGTCGATCAAATCGAAGGGAATAATTTTTGGCTAGCAGAGATGAACTAGCAAGGGTTTCTCAGATCAAGAAAACGGCAAGCAGCAGACAGACGTTGCCCCAACTAACATCAAAGTGGAAGAACTTCATTTGCTCTATTAGTCTATTTCAAGTTTTCAACAAAGCATGAACCATCCAACCACCTAAAATTAACATTCCATTTTTTGGTTCACCAATTATTATTTTAGCTAGAAAACATTATAATCAGGGTAGAAGTAAATGGTGAACTCTTGGTAGTGGTAATCCTAGAGACTAAAAAAATTATTTCTTAAGTATTGCATTCTGCTCACTACTAATTTCCAATTAAGGATATGATAAATAATTTCAAGAAATTCAATACAATGATAATTATAACAACGCAACAATAACAAAATCTATCAATAGTTCTCAAATGAAAAGCCGCCAATAATTTTCAGTATGTTTATAAACCAAATATACTTTGAGTGGAGACGTCAGTAATTCATGTTTCAAGCTTAAGAGCTGTGCATTCAATGATAAAACTTGGATCCTTGGACAGGCGATCTAAAATTCACTAACTTAGTTCACAATTCAAAAAAAATACAAATAAGGATACAAATTCATAAAGTAGGTAATAGAAAAAGGAAGACCTGTTTGAGGACATTATCAGCGATCCGATAGTAAATTCTCAGAGAGATTCGATTATCTACATCGAGTTTCTTCGTACGCGCCTCGATGTTGATTTGACCAGAAGACGACCGCGTCATCATATTGAAGAACTCGTAGAATTCCTTTTCTTTATTTCTGTTTTCTTAGCATTCAATTGAGGTCGATCGTAATCTTTGATCGGACATAGACAATTGAGTCTCACAATGGCTGCTCCGGCTCGTGCTTGGAAGAGAAAAGCAGAGATTGGGAAAGGGACGGGCGAGTAGAACAAGAAGGTCATTCAACAATCAAACGGGGGCAAATGTGGAATGATATTAATTATTAGGGCTCGTTTGGCTGCTCTAACATTGGTCTCTGGGGGAACACTTCAAGTGGGATTTGGCTCCTCCCAATTTCTCTTTTTTTCCCCATTCAATGTCCAATAATTGCTTTGGAACATTGTCTAATATAACATTGTCTAATAAAAGTAAGATCATACCCTCGGCTTGAATCCAAAAGCTTTCACTAAGAAGGAAGGAGTACTTAAAACTCCACCGTAACTCTTTATCGGTGATTCTCTCAATTTTACATTCTCTTCCTTTCCTCTTATTTCCTCCAGTTCATAATAAGTAATTATTTTATTTTTAGCACGCCAATTAAGGAAATATGAACTCTTAGAGAAAAAAATATATTTACTAAACTAACATTAATTAATTGTTACCTTGATACATCAGAATATTTAAATAAGGGCAAATTTTGGAAAAAATAAAATTAATTCCTTCTTGCTTATGTAAATGGACTCTTATTTTAGACCAAAATAAAAAGATAAAATAGTCACTTGTTATGGATCGGAGGAAGTAATACTTATTTAGATTTGTTACACTTGTCATGTCATATTTAGATATTATTGAAGATCCAAAATTATTTAACTAAACAATAGTCTTAAAGTTTAAACATTATTTTGTGGTACTATTCACACTAACAATACTATACCATAAGACCTTATTATTTCAATATTACAATTTTTATATTATAAAGACCTCATTTATTTTTATTAAAAGTAAAACGTTGGAGTCTAAATATATGCCTGGATGTGACTAAATTTTATCTTTATTCAAAGCTAATAATGTATAATTTAAATAAATTACTAAAAAATAATATAACCATAAAATATTAGGAAAACTAGATACATGGTGTTAAGGCCGGCAACTTGGTCGGGTCAAGACGGACTCGGGACCGCGGGTTAAGTGGGCTAAACGGGCTGGGACCGTTTGGCCCGCTAGAGGTAGGTTCGTGCCGGTCTCATAGTTTTAGCTAGGAACCGTTAGGACCAGGCTTGTTTGGCCCGCCAAGAGACCGGGACCGGACGGTCCCTTGGAGGGTCAAACAGGCCTAACGGATATATTTTTTTAAAAAAAATAATCGTTTGGCTTTTGAAAAAAGTAGTCGTTGGGAGTTCAAAAAATAGTCGTTGGGTATTTAAAAATAGCCATTTAGCCTCCCCTCCCCCCACCCAACTAAGTTTTAACCCCAAACATTTTATTATTACACTTTTTCTCTATTTTCTACTATAAATACCCACTCATTCTTTTATTTTTCTTACAAAATCAATATCAATCTATCAAAATCTCTCTCTAATTTTTCTCTATACTTGCTACAATTGTTTACTTTATTAAAAAAAAATAGTGAAAAAATTATGAGGTTGCTACTATTGCTTACTTTATTCCGAAAAATAGTCAAAAAATATTGAGGTTGTTACAATTTGTGAAAAAATTGTGAAGTTGGTGAATTGGGAGAAAATGACAAAAATTGTCCCTTATCTTTAGGAGTAGGTTTATGATAATCCCTTAAATATGCGTTTGCCGTTTTTAGTCCTTTAAGTATTAAAAAACTTATCAATTTTGGTCTTTGTCTACTGTCAATTTATTTTAACAGCTTGCCCTAACGTCAAAACATAAAATAATTTAGCGCTTTGTCTTTTATTTCTCTCTCCCCGTTTCTTTTTTATCTTATCTGAGTAGTGGGTGGCGGCGAAGGCGGCGACGGAGAACGGGAACCGGTGGAGTTAGGGATAGAGCTACTGCCCTATTTCTTGTAAGGTTTATGGCGGCCCATAATATCTCTTTCTCGCCGGTCCAACCCATTTTTCAGAACCCATTTTTCCTGCTTTACTGCGATGAAGATTGTCCGCTATCTGAGCCTTTCATTAAATTGGCAATGAAGGTTGTGCGGACTTCCCCAAAAAAAATTTATTAATCTCTTTCTATATGTTATTTGCTCTAGTTAATGCATTCTCTTGATTTGCTTTATGAGTATTAGCATTTAAACAAAAGCCCGCAAAAAAAGTTTTAATTTGTATGTGCTATTTGCTCTAGTTCATGTATTTTCTTGATCTTGTATTCAAGTATTTACTTTTTTAGCTGCTTTATGTTAATTTGATCTAGTCGAAGAGGATATATTATTATTCATATACTGCTGCAATATCAGAATATCTTGTTCCTTTTGCATTCAGCTGTGCATTAAGTTAGTTTTGATCAAGTTTGATGTCGCATTAGCTTGAATCCATTCAAGTCTTTAGATGTTTATACATCTCCTAATGACTTGTATTTATTATCTGTAATGTAGATAATTTAGTGATAAAGTTGCATCTTACTTGTGAACACCTCTTAATTTTATATATGGGATATTCCTGTTTTGGAAGCATAGATTCATGTCTTTGCCAGTATTAAACATCGTGATGAGTACATAATGTTGCATCGTATTACCTGTCTTCTGGTACAACCCTTATGCCAACTATGCAATGTTATGCTAATTTGTATCTTATATTTATTGCCTTCACTTAGATGCATTACCTGATTTAAAAGACAATAACATTTACGGTCTTAAAATAGTTGCATGTATTGGACAATCTTTATTGGTTGAAAATATTGTATGTTGTGCACAAAAGTGTAACTTTGTCATTGCATCTCTATTATGGCTAATTTTGTGTTTTGCATTCACTATGTGATTAGTGGTACAAGTTGAATAGACAATAGTATTGTACTAGATTCTACCTTTAACGCCTTTGATGTTCTTTGGGTTACCCTTTGAAGCAGTGTAGCTATTGGATGCCATGATGATAGAATTCTCTGCCCCTTGGCTCTGTCCTAACACCGGGAACTGGATATTGAATTTGAAGCTTTGGCATATGCAAATCATGGCTAAAGTCTGTATGAGATAAGGGCCTCCGATCGTGATGTAAATTACAAGTTGTTCAGCTGAATAATAAATATTGCAGTTGTCTTTCTCAATGTGTAGTAGTATTTTGTGGTTCACTTTAGATTATTAGTTGAAAGACAAGCAAGGATAATAGTCATTTCTACTTAATTGCAAGGATAATAGTCCTTTGTACTTAATTATGTAATGAAAGCGTCACAACGGTTGGCTATTTTGTATTTTATTTATTCTGAGTGCATATGCCCTTGGTCATCATTTTATTTGAGTTGTGATGATATGCTAAGCAAGTGGAATGCTAATAAATAATCATGAAACTGCAGAAAATATTGTTGTAAAATAAAAAACACAATTGAACCAAAAATATAGTGTCATTTTCATGTTAATAAATAGACATTACATCAATGAAACTACAGAAAACTGCACAAAATTGCAAAAAAAAGAGCATAAAACTAGAAAAAACTGCATCAAATTGCAGAAAATAACTTTTTTCTAAAGTTTGTGACATATACTGCATCCTAAAGTTTTCCGCATCAATGTCCAGTATTGTGACATATACTGCATCCTAAAGTTTTCTGCTTTATTCTCATTTTTGTCCTACTTGCTCCCGTTTCATCTGATTCTTTTCTTCTTAACTTCTGTTTTCTTCCTTTATTACTTTGTCTTACTATTTTTGGAGGTAAAGGAGGAATATTATCATATTGTGGCCACATGTTTTGATCATTCATAAGAAGAATGGCAAATTCATAAATTCTTCTATAGGTGTCCACCTTATAACAGTCATCAACATAAGAATTAATTTTATCATTTTTAGCCCAAATTGCAGCTATGGCATACTTGCAAGGAATTCCTGTCAAATTCCATTTTCTACAGCTACATTTTCTATTTAGTAAGTCCACAACCCAATTATCATTTATGCTAGCTCCTATAAGCTCATAGTTCCACTAATTTATCTTTCTAGGAATATATTCAGCAACAACAACTTGACTTTTGTGCAACACATCCTTAATCCTGGGGCAAATATCATCAGAACTCCACATGACAGATTTATTCCTATTTGTTTGTATTCTTATCATAAGTAGATATCGAATTTTCTCCAAAAGAGTGATAATAGGCTTATCCCTCGCCTCCAATATCATATTGTTAAAAGCTTCACACATGTTATTCAATAAGGTATCACATTTCACATTTTCAGAAAAGTGAGATCTAGAACATTCACTAGGTGACTTATCTCTCAATCAAGAAGCAGTTGCGGGGTCTAAATCAATTATTTCAAGCATGCATTTATCAAACCACTTTATTGTTGTTGCACTAGCAGCTTTTCACAGTGCATTTCTCAATGTGTTACCACTAAATCCCGCCCTCTTAAAGTTATTATGCAAGTATCTCATACAAAATCTATGAGCCACAAATGGTAATACCTCATTAAATGCTTCTATAAAACCTTTTTGCTTGTCTCACATGAAGGTCCAATTAGCTCCATCATCTATCTCCAAGTCAAGCTTTAAATGATTCAGAAACCATGCCCATGACTCGCGACATTCTTTCTCCACAATTGTATATGCTATCAGATATATATATTATTATTAGGATCAAGCCCAATAGCAGTTAATAACTGAGTACCGTACATTGGACCCTTGAGCCAACAACCATCCACTCCAACTATTCTTCTGTAACCACTCTTGAAACCTTCTTTGCAAGCACTAAAATAAATATAGAATCTCTGAAATATTTTAGGCTTGCTAGGATCCTCATTTTCGACCAACATCATATAAACAGAAGTATTTGGATTTGTTCTTACTAGTTCATTGCAATAATTCCACACCACTTTGAATTGATCAGAAATATCTCTATCGATAATTGCAATGGCCTTCTTCTGCCCTTATACATTTAGATAAAGTCACATGTGCTCTTAACTGTACACTCACATGATCTCTAAATTTGGAGATCTTCCAATTCCTATTTGATTTTATGGCATCAAGATCTTCTAGCAATGAATGAAGATGTGACAGTATTATTATAATAATTTCAATTCTTACAATCATTGGTGGAATTATATATTTTTATCTAAAAAGCGTTATCCCTATACATTTTCAATCTGGTTTCACACATTTTGCTCTTATCCTTTCTCTATCATTCTTGCACCATTCTATATACTTTTCTTGATTAACTTCATGAGTAGTCACAGCATTCTTGAACTCC